CCACATCAAAACAAAATCAATAAGCAAGTCTTGGATGGACGCGATCCATTTTGAACACAGCTATTGGTAGTCTTAGAGGAAAAGAGAAAGCAGAGAGTGAGAGTACTTTTATATTGATTATTAGCATGCCATGTCATGAGAGTTTTATAACAACAATATAAAGTCTTACTCAATCAGTCTAGACACAAATCATAGCCTAAGGGGACAGCCTGAAGGAAGAGTCACAGAAATAGCTGCTGACATGGAAGCGGCCTTCGAAAATGAGATAACTACAATAAAATGAGCAAAACTATCGTAATAAATACATAACAGAAGTAGTACCATACTTTTCTGGGGATTTCAAAGAATACAGAGGCAAAACTAAGAGCTAAACGGCCAAAAAATAGACTGGCAGTAATGGAGGACAAAAGAGAAGGAAGCCATTTGCAGCTGGATTAATTTGGAACTGAACTGCGCATGCGCAGTGGGCGTGGCATTACTAGATTAATTATTACATTATTATTATGAGTGTAATTATTACACATTGATGGTGGGTATTTTCCACCAAAGGGGGGAATATAACACCAGGGGGTTTCACCCACATTGGTGGAAAACCAAAAAGTGGGTACCTTCCACAGATATGGTGGGTATAACCCACCATCGTTTTTGCAGTGTAGAGAATGAAAGAGATTAAGTAGAAATTAAAGAATAGATGTAGATTAATATAAAGAAATAGCATAGATATTAGAGTAAATGAAATTAAATATAAAAAAGTAAATATCTATGGGAATAGCAAGGTAGAGGGTAGTCTGGTCACGCCCCATGACCAGCCTAGAAAATAAGATGGAGAAAAGAAACAAAAATTAATAAAGGCATAAGGCTAGCTCTTTAAGTTAAATTCACATATAATACTGTGCATGTACAAGTGTGTAGACTGACTTGTTAGTTGTCACCATGTAGCTTCTTAGTTAGTTCTCATAGCTCAGCATCAATCATACCCTAAAATAATTTATTATTATTAGGCTGTGTCTACAGCTCCGGTAACCGGACGTAGTTTGCAATGCTAGAGCTCCGGCAGTCCGTTTTTCTCCGTAAAACAGCTTGTGCGCATGCGCAATAGTGCAAAATGGAACTTAGTCTTTTTATCAAGAAACACTAAACCCTAACCCCAAAACCCTACGATCCCGGGGCTAAGATGTACGAGAGGGTGCTCTAAAAACTAAACACTAAACCCCAATCCCAACCCTACGACCCCGGAGGCTAAGATGTACGAGAGGGTGCTCTAAAAACTAAACACTAAACCCCAATCCCAACCCTACGACCCCGGAGGCTAAAGCCCCGTTTACACTATGCCCTTAAAGCGGTTTGGAACCGGTTTAGAAATAAATCAG